CCAAACCATCGGATTCCGCTACTGGCACAACCCAGGAGCCTGGACGAACTACAACGGCATCACTGGCCCGACCGGACACTTCCTCGGATTCTTGTCTGCCTTTGTCAACGCGTCCTTCAGTTTCGTTGGTGTTGAAACAGTCGTCATCACTGCCGCTGAATCGGTCGACCCGCACTACTCCATCCCCAAAGCTGCCCGTCGCGTGACATACCGTATTGCATTCTTCTACATCCTCGGTGCGCTCCTCATCGGACTCATCGTCAGCCCTACAAACAAAGACTTGGTCTCTGGTTCCGGCAATGCCAACAGCTCTCCTTGGGTCATTGCCATCAAGCAAGCCGGAATTAGCGCTCTGCCGTCTATAGTCAACGCCTGTATTCTTATATCGGCTTGGTCTGCAGGCAATTCCTATTGCTGGGTAGGATCGCGCATGATCGTGGCCATGACGACCGACCGCCAGTTGCCGCAGGTGTTTGGCCGGGTTAACAAGATGGGCGTGCCATACGTTGCTGTCTTCACCTCCTGGCTTTTTGGCCCGTTGGCGTACCTGAGTAAGTAATCCTGGTTCTAATTGTGTCGGACTCCAATCTAACGGTTGCTATAGGTCTTGGCTCCGGCGGTCCGGCGCAAGCTTTCGACTGGCTTCTCAATCTGAGCACCATTGCTGGACTAATCGCGTGGGCGACACTGTCCTTCTGTTACATTCGCTTCTATTCCGCCATGAAAGCGCAGGGCGTCAGTCGGGACACTTTGCCCTGGAAGTCGCCCTTCCAGCCATACACGGCGTGGGTGGGTTTCATTGGCTCAACGATCATCACCCTGGTGGCGGGTTTCCCCGTGTTCCTCAAGGGTAACTGGTCCACTTCGGACTTTTTCGCCTCGTATGTGGGAATTCCTATCTTTATCGTGCCGATTATCCTCTGGAAGGTTATCAACCGCACGAAGGTAAGCAGCCCCGTCTTCATCTGGTGTCGAGTGGTGTAGCTAACTGGTGGTGCAGTTTCAGCGCAGCTCCAACATCGACCTCTGGTCCGGTCGGCTGCAGGAGGGCGAGATAGTTATTCGAGAGGGCGGGCCCAAGACCCGTGTGAGACGCTTCGTGGACTGGTTCTTCTAAGTGTGGACTGGTTCCAAATTCAACTTTTTCTGTGCATTTGTGCATCTTTCGGCGGAGATACCCATTATGTTTTTCATGCAATTTCAACAATTTGCAAGCCGTCACAAAAGTGTGTTAGACTTTTTCTATATACATATTACTATACACGTTTTAATTTACTCCGGGCGGAGCTGTTCGCGAAGCCTCTTGATATCATTGAACGAAGCCTTGCAGCAACCGCCAACGAGGATCGAGCTGAACTGGCCAGTGGCGGCCGCGTCATTGACCACCTGTGACAATTGCACCTCCCAGGGTCGCTGTCATAATCCCTGCAGTCAGCACATACCATCCATAATCATAACCATAATTCAAAGATTCACTTACCGAATCATCCGCACCACTCTTATCCTGCACCTTCTCCCACGTCTGCGTAGCAGTATTATAAACCTCTCCCTGCGTACCATCAGGATACAGGACCAACGCCGGCCTCTCCTCAATCCTTCCTTCCCTCAGCAACCTCTCCACCGCATCCCCAAACAACCCAACCAACCTGGGCAACTTATGAAGCTTCGTACAATTAATGCCAATCCCCCACGGCGTCGCACCCCCCTCAACGGGCAGCAGCATCGCCTCGACTACCTCATCAACAGTACTCCCATCAGGCAAGGTATCCTTATCCTCGACCGGGAAAACACACGCCACCCAAAACGGCACCCCCTCACAAAACCCCTTTGAAGACCCCACAGCCCTCCTCACAGCCCTCACCTCATCAATCCTCGGCACCGTCTCCATCGCAATATACTTGACCCTCTCCCGCAACCCCTTCCCCTCCATGGCTGCCTCATCATCAAAAAGTCCCAACCGATCCGTATGCCACCTCCACAACTTCTCCTCATCATCATGCTCCCCATCATACTTCCCACTATACTCCTGTCCCGGGATCATGCACGCGCCATAGGGGCCCAGACTCAGCGCCACAGAAGCAGACGTATCCTGCACCGCTTGTCCGGCGACGTCGAGCGCGGTGCGCAGGTAGGGGGCGATACTGGCGCGGGGGATTCCCGACGGGTGCGAGGGGGTTTGGGTGCGCTGGAAACCCTCCGGCGAGACTTGGTAGGTAGCGGTGAGAAGGACGTCGACGGCGGCGGCGGCGGTGAAGTCGCGTTGGCAGGAGAGGAGGGTTTTAGGGTCGGAGATCATTAGGTGGGAGGACCAGAGCGGGGTGGTGTCGCTGCTGAAGGTGATATTGTAGTGGTCTTGGAGGGAGGTGCCGAGACCACCGTCGAGGATTAGGATGGGTGTTTTTGCCATCTTGTAGGTGGTGTTGATTGATTGATTGATTGATTGGTGATGGAGATGGAGTGTGTGAGCATGAGGGAGGAGTAGAAAATATTTCTTCAGTTTTGGGTGGTATTGCGACAATGGAATGGAGTGGGCTTTGGCTGCCCCGCAATGTGGGGTTGTTTGCGTAGGTTGCAATTTGCGATCGGGTTGCGATGGATTTATCGGAGTATCATCATTATTTACATGATTGTTGCTGTGCGAAGATACTTTGCAATATAGTCAAAGTGTAATATTCAATGTCTAAGGATACTGGTGTTGTGGGTTTGGTTGGAATTGTGCATGGATTTCTTCATGGGGGCTGAGATCACGGGACGTCATTGACTGTCTATCAAACATTCCAGCCAAGCCATTCCGCTCTGTTCTAGAAGCTCAGTCGCACTTTTGACAGGCGGGTTCACTGTCTTCTTATGCCCCGGGCGAAAGTGACAACCCTTTGACTTTCTATTTTTCATTTTCTTTTCTAGAGGCGTCCTCGGTGTTCTGATGCTAATAATGTCTCAGACCATCACATCCCTCCTTGGTTAGACGGTCGCGACCATCCACCATCCACAACCGTCACAATGAAAACACCAATACTCTCTCAGTTGACCGCATAGTCTAGGCAGCTATCCTCTACTCTTCAAGACATTGCATCGACAAGAAAAGATCTCCATAATAGAACCCTGCACACTGCCGATCCATAAACTATGATGTGAGCGGTGTGCCATGACTGTGACAGGCACCAGCATCACCACAGCTAAGCCATCATTCTATTTATGCACTCCAAGTTAATGAAGCGCAGTACTCCGTGAATACCTCGGCAAACCCACGAGTGGATAACAAGAAAGGAACTTACAGGCAAGATACCCACGCAGGATGATCATCCGAGGCTTATTGCTTGCACCAATCAAGCTGTCACCAGTGGAAATTGATTGATTGATAGGCAGAGCCGTTTCTCATACGCTAGATAGGGAATAGAATAGAATACTGTTCGTAATTCTATGTTAGGTTACTGTACAACATGAGGATGACATCCATGTCAAATCTGCGACCGTCCCTGTCTGGATTGTGGCTTTGATCAACAGTCCCTCCGCCGTCATGTCGCACCCTGATACACAGCCCCAGCCACAATGTTCCACCTAGAGTGATCTATTAGATTAGATGCATGGGATGGACACATATCCCACGGAGCTAATAACAAGCCACTTTGACGACTAGCACTGTCACGGCGGCTAACTCCTCCCTGGAGGATACCACTCACAGGTTTGACCAGGAACAGTCAACCAATGACAACAAATGGAAAAGCGAAACTCCCTCTCACAATATACGTACATAGTATAGAGTAGACCCTGCAGAGTTTTACAATGATAGACAGAAGACAGACAATACTCGCAGTCCGATGCAAGGGACCATGGAAAACAATCGGTCGGCCCAACGGTCTACAAAAACCAGACCTTGCTCCATACTGTCAGTGAGTAACTGCCGCAGTATCTTTATCCCGGGCCAATCTGACTCGGTAATAGTGTCCGGTAGGGTAGGTAACCAGGGAATAATGGAAATCGGTACGCAGCAAAAAAACGAGAATGAGGTTGCCTAAGACCATTTAGGCGATAGTGCTAAGAATAGATCAGCATTGGCACAGCCCCATTGGCCCAGCATCCAAGCAAAGCTTAGGTAAAGCTTGGAGAAACTGCACTGTTGTATTGTAATGTATGTGTAATGGGGATGGGGATTGTCCTTCGTATTCGAATTGAGGAGGAGAAAGCAAAGAAAGCAACGCGGCGTTTTTGACTGACCAAAATTGAGTCGGGCGATGGGAGCGAAAGCAGTATGGTTAGTTGCCGATCCGTGAATTCTAGGTTTGCGGGAGACATGAAAGTTACGGGACTATTGATGTTGGAGGGTATTGAATGATACCGTGGTGATACCTACTTACTTACCTATCAGATGGACATCACAGAGTTCAAAGTAAGCGAGGCAAGTAACTATAGTAACTAAGCATCATACCTGCTTAATCACCGAGAAAGAAAGAAAGAAAGAGAAGACTGACACAGACATCATCCTCCCTCCTCACCTGGATCTCTGCATGAACCGCGCGTCTATTAACACCTCCCAATTATAGACCAGCATCCAAGTTTCATCAACCACAACACAGCCCAGCCAACCCAGCCACGGCAAACCCGGCACAACACACCATCTTCTTCGATAAGACAGCCAAGAAATCATGTGTTTGATCCGGCGAATCCCATGACAAACAACTCGGCCGTGCCAAGAAATTACTAGTCGGCAGGGCTGAGCGGGTTGACGTGGACCATCTCGTGGCTGTGAGTGGCTGAATTCCAACCCAACCTCCCCGCTTTCTCAGCATGAAGCATGCAAAAAAAAAAAAAATTACGGATTCTTTGTGTTTTTGTGTTCCTTCTTCGCTAGCCCCCACCCGTATCATTACACTATTAATACAGTGAAGACGCTTACTTACACCCTGACCCACACGGAATGAATCGCCTGGTTAGTCGTGGACCCCTGATCCAGAGAAATTGTACTGTTACTATGGCGGAATGGACCCGATCATCGTTTTTTTAAAACATAAATAGCGGGTGTTGCTCCTCGCTTTCATTCATTTTACACAACTGTCTACTACCTACTACTACTACTACTACTACTATCTACTTAGATACTTATCTACCTCCATCTCTACTTTACATCTTATCCAACTCTACACTACTCTACAGTCAAAATGGTCTTCAACTGGTTCAAGTCTTCCAAGGAGGAATCCTCCGCTACCCAACAACCCTCCTGGGACGCCAACACCATGACCATGCAGCAGCCTTCTAGCCCCGAGGCTCCTTCTACTGAGCGCGTTGTTACGCAGCAACCTGTACGATATCCCTTTCCCCAACAACTATCAAGTAACATAGATAAAAACTAACGTGTATTTCCAGAACACCCAGGAAGAAATGAAGATGGGTCTGCGTGGTGGTGGTGCCGGTGATGTGTGCTGCGGAGTGTATGTTCATCCTATCCCTTCCTTTTAACCTACTCTGAAGTAACGGCAATGCTGATTTTTGATTGTTGTCTAGTTGCGCCGGTCTTCTCTGCTTCGAGTGCTGTGAGGAGTGCTGCTAAACGCACACCTTCTTCCCTCTCATACATACGTTCGACTACTGTCTCCGTATCTTGATGAACAAAGATCAAAAAGGAAAGAAAAAATAATTGAGGAAACGGACATGTGCTGCCCATCTATGCGACGAGCTATGAATTGCGGATCTGGATGAATGTTGGGTCGACGATTCCATGGATCTGGATGATGGATGGATGATGGATGGTGTTTCAGTTGGTTTTGGATTTGCCCTTGCGAGATCGCTTATACCCGGTGTTTCTATCACATCTACTATTTCTCTATTTTCGCTTGGTTCTAGAAATGAATTGAGTCAATATGATTGCTTACTTGATGGTTGGTCAATGCGCTGTAGATTAAACATGGATTTTGAGCTATTATCAGATGGCAGTCTTGTCGCGCGCTAACTCTGCTTTGCGAATATTTTAAGTCCGATTTTTGCGAATGATTAGTCCATCAAACTACCCTGCTCTTTCTCATATGTCACCTGCTTCGGACCCATCGTGCCAGGCCCGTACTCCACGCTACCATCCGCGAACAGACCAACTGACCTGACCAGTCCCCCGCTGATGTCGTTGATGACTTGGCTGAACTGAAGCCCCCGGTTCACCTTGCATCGAGTACTGGCCGACTCGCAGTGAGCCACCAGGGCAGCCGCCGTTCGGAAGATGCGAAGGCATCCAGGGCACCTAATAAGTCGTGAGTTAGACCATAGTCAACCGTCATCCAAGCATGCGGCAGCTTACTGAATGCCTCTGTTCTGGTTGGTTTTCGTTACGACATGCTCCTCAAAGTCTCTCATGCTGGAAAATTCAGCCTTACAGGGGCAGATAAACTTTCCGTTGAAGGAACTGAAGTATACGGTAGGGTCCCAGTTCCGGTCCAGCGCCCGAAGATTGTGTCCTGCGTCAAGGTGGTCAATGCCGAAGGAATTGCTTGGGCCTGGGCTTGGGCTCGATGGCCTCGCGATCTCTCCGGCCGATGCTGATTGTTCTCTCGTCTCGCTCAATAAAGACGGAGAAGCCATTGACGACTTGCTCTTCGGTTCCGGGACGTCGTCGAGTGATAGACCGCTCACCCCGCCCACAACAGATTGAGTGGCATCGTCCTCAGGGTCCATCTCCAAAAGGTCCTGGTCAATATGGACTCCGCCGTTGTCATCTTGGCAATCGGGTTCAGCGCTATCACCGTCATTACCTGACTTAAGTGCCTCTCGAAAGAGGAGCCTCCTTGACTGTTCCTGTAGGAGCCTAGACAAGGGGATGTTTAGACAATCGCCGCTCTCGACGTGATTTACCATGGCACCTGCCATTCTGAACTTCTGCCCGCAGCCGTAACAGGTCAGAGTCTGCGGAGTTCGGTGTTGCTGTATAGACATCAAAAGAATCAGCTCGGAATGATGTGACGGGTCAACAAATGCCAATATGAAGGATACCCACCTGACGGGTATGAAGGTCTCTACCACCCTCGCTGCGAAAATCGATCCCACAAACTACACACACGATATGCTTGTCACTCTTGATTTTGTGGAGCAGGAGATACTCATCATCCTGGAAATCCTCGTCGCAACGGCTGCAATAGTCGTGTTCGTTCACCTTGTGCCTCTTCATCTCCCGTGCCGATGCAAAGACACCGCTGCACTCCTTGTAGGTGCAGGGCACCCTGGTGGAAAATGCTTGACTGGACATCTTGAACTCGTCAAGTAACTTGTCAAGTAGAAGTGGATGGAGTGTCTAAACGATAGAAGGTGGGTAGTTGCAGGGAGGTTAGAAGAGTGTGCTGGTCAAAGTCTGCGAAATTCACTGAAATGGCGATGAATGAGAGTCACCCTAGACGACACCTGCCTAAATAGGAAGGCATGCACTTGAAGCGAGACGGAGTGAAACCTGCTGGGAAACGTTTCATATTCCAATATTTACGGGAGGTTTCACATATCGCATGGAATGAGGTGGCATTTAAGTAGGAATAAACTAAACAAATTCATTACTTTTCTCACTTTCTACCTACAGCCAGTCTATACGGACCCACCAGCCACATACTAAAGACAATTTAGAGAAGAAAATCATTAGCCATTCATTTTACAAAACACTATATATGCATTCATCATCTAGAACCGCGAGAAGGGCAGCCTAACAAAGTCAGTATCTCACAGCGAAGCGACCATCAATCATTCAAAACAACTTACCACTTTCCACGCAGAGTAATCACCGCCCAGTTATTTCCGTCCGCATCCGTCTCCTTCTCCACCTTAGTCGAGAAAGAGATGGCGCTCATGATACCATCACCGAACTTCTCATTCAGCACCGCCTTGTATGCGTACCCGTAGTTCTGCACAATCTCATACAATCGGTAAATCAAGGGCTCCTTGGGGGGCATCTCCACGGTGCGACCACGGTCGGGAAAACCACTAAGCCTTTCCTCCAGAACATCGTGAGGGATGGTGAGGAGCGATGCGAGTTTCTCGATGTCTTCGGGGGAAGCCTTGGCCTGACCATAGAAGATAGCAGCGGTAGCCACTTCATTGCGGCCAATGTGTTGGGCAATCTGCTCGAAGCTCAGCTTCTTGGCGGCTTTGGCCTTGAAGAGGGTCTCCGACGCGGACGGGAGGTTAGGATGCTGGGCAGTCTGTTATTCGAGGGTGATGAGCTCATGCTTTCTTCCTATTCTCGGCATCATGTATTGGAGGGAGGGCTTACGTCAAGAGTGGCGAGAGACATTGTGTCGGTAGGATTTTTGAGGCAGAAACGGCGATGGAAAGACTCAAGGAGAGGAAATTGAAGCAGGGCAAGACGGGATTATAAAAGCTAGCTGCCAAGGTCAAGTAGGATGGAGATGGAGGGGTGTCATTCTTAAATAATCGGCGGTGATCCGCTTTTCTCCAACTGTCGTGCGGGGTACTTGCCGTCTCGTTGCAACGGTGGGGAGCTCATGCTGTGAGGGGGAACAACAACAATGCCATTGTTTCCGTATAGATGTTTGTGTCTTCTTTGAGCCTTTCAAGTGAAGTTTCACGGCTATAGACTCACTAGTAGGTGGCAACATTGCCAGCACCGTCAATAAAGCTATGGTAGCCATCGCTGTCCTCCTGCAGCCGTGAAAACGTCACTTGCATCTCAGATAAGATACTGCGGGGTTCCGCCGAGGTCGGATCAACACCCAACCGCCTGGCAAATAAAGGCCTATCAAGCACTTTACTTCTTCGAAATACTAACAAAAACAACAGTGTCGACTTTGTCGAAGCATGGGTCTTGCTCGTTGGCAGAAGCTGGTCTAATATTTTTTTCTCAGATATTCTTTTTCGGACTGGATTTATTTTCTTTCTTGTTAATGATCTATTTCTGCCTTGTTGATATCCTTCTGTTCCGTGCTGGCATGAAGCTCTGTGAGCGGTCTTGTCTTATTATGAGAATTACTGACAACAAACTTATATTTGATTATATCTCAAAACATTCTGTCTGAATTCTAATAAGTAGTCCTAATTTCACACGTGCTCTTTCCTCCGCCTTTTATCTGATATCAGATATGCCCAATACCAAGCAACGGTCCAAACCAACCCTCCATCAACTCCTCCATTGTAATGTCGAAATCCAACCCAAACAAATTAGGATCAGCCTGAACCCCCTGATCCATATTCTGATCCTGCACCGCAAACTGCAAAGACTCATTCTCAACACTCTTCGCCGCCTCCAACTGAGCAACCTGATACGCCTTATCAAACCACACCGCAGCAGCCAGAGTCCACTTATGATAATGCGAAAATACCCCATCCTTACACGTCTTCGCAATTAAATCGAGACGAGCCACAAAGAACTGAAGCATCTTCGGCATATCAAGCGCGTCACGAAGCTCTTGTACCTGTGCATTAAGGCGGAGTGAAGGGTGCAAAGCTGCCAGAACTAGTTTGCATGCGGCGACAACCAAAAAGCCCGATGATAGCCAGATCACGATGCTGTAGTTCCTTTCTATTACTGGTGGTAGTTTGAGGTAGTAGTCGAGGAATCTCTTGGAGGCTGCTAGTCCGTGGCAGAGGGTGTCGCTTCGGGAGACTAGGAGAAAGCTGTCGGATGGTGTGGATGCTGCTTTGGTGTCTATGAGACTGATTTGACATATTTGGAGTTCTAGGGTGTGGTATTGTGTTGCGATGAATGCTGTGCAGATGGAGTTTCTTAGCATCGTCAGGATGTACATCGCTCAAGTGCATGTCTAAAGGGGGAGGGACTCAGGATACTGAAATACCTACGGTCACAGGTTGGATCAACAGGTAATTGGTTCTTATACTGTTCAACTTCTGCTCGAAATGCTCGAATATGTTGCTCCATGTCCGGATGGCGTTCAATACTAGTCATAGTAAGAGCATCTAACCTCTGCAGCATATGCTGTAACTGGACGTAATATATTATATACCGATCAGTAGGATATTCGGCCACCTGAGACAATTCTTCAGCTATTGACTCTATATACGGTGTCCAGGGCGTTGTGCAAGTCCTTTGTCTGATAATAGCGTCACTGATGAAAAGTGTAAGTATGAGTCTCGTTTCCCTTGAAGATCTTCACTTACGTGGAGTTGAGTAGGAATATTCCTATCAAGGCCCGACCTTCATCGGCGACTGTCCCTTTTCTTGTTTTATCGCATTCGTCACCCACCTCAAGCCGTGTGGCGACTCTGTACTTCGGATGTCGATCGAGTCGTTCGTTGATTACTACGCCAACGGCAAGCTGCATGTAATACGGCAATCGACATAGTTGATGCCTCTGACGTGTTCTATTTGACAATTAGTATGTGCTTCCTTGGTGGCGAAGTCAAGAGCAAAATCGTAAGGCCATACATACCCAGCTAAGATGATCAATAGTCCCTGCAGAATCTCGAAAGAAGGCGGGTGGCTATCATGCTCTGAGCAAAGGACCTCAATTGATACATAGGTTTGCAAAACTTCTTCTAGTGACTTTTGCAACGAGTCGTCGTGGAATGAACAAAAGACCAGAATACAGAGAAGTACGAATGGCTTCTCGGCTCTTAGGTCGTCGACCGTAGTGCTTGCGGGCACCATGACAAATGGGAAGAACAGCATGGCTTCACGGTACTGATCTAAAAGCTGAGTTGCGGATTCATGGCTGATCAGGCCATTTTTGATTACATCGATAGTATCGGCGTGTGGGTAGGTACTGCTAACTTCACTATTCGGGGTGTGATAATGATGCTCTGGACGTCGTGGGGTGACGAGGTTGATCTGGCCCATTATTTGATCAATTTTGTCTTCAAGCACTTCTATGCGTCTGTTTCTTTAGCTAATTAGTTAATCCATTTGCAACTTATTGTTTCTATGAGCGTTACCTTCTGCGCTTCTTTGGAGCAGATCGCTGCCGTGCCAGTCGGAAGTAACATTCTTTCTTCAAGCGATAGCAGCTGTTATAGCGAATTGCATACCACGTTAGATACTGTATACATGTTGTTCTCATCAGAAGGATAAGTAGTTTACTGACCGATCGCATATCGTAGCATCTGGCGCATGCGTACATCGTATCTTGGCCCGGACGCAGTTCTCACAGGTCTTGACTCTCTCTGTTTCAGTTTCCCCAGCCATACTGAAGAAGATAGGGCTTAGTAATTATATGATCTAACTGATCTTGTAGAAGCGGACACGGAATGGAGGTCAAACACGGACGGTAGTACACTTAAGAAGGGTCAATCCGTCGGACACGGACACCATATCTGTGCGGCTTATCCGGCGGGCCAAAATTGACAGTCCGACTCCGTGTCTGCTAAGCCAATCATGTCAATCATGGAGCCTAATTTGGGGCTGCCAAGATCTCAAGGCAAAGGTTTCTCATGTTGATAAGCCCTCAGCGTGCGTAATCTTGGGCCAAACAGAGAAAAATGAGGATTTTGCATAGCCCTGTCCGCTAAAATAGATCAGGCATTCGGGTTTCTGGAGAGATATTAGCCATATAAGATGGAGACTAGCCTCAAACATGTGAATTGGAAGTATACAGATTGATATCAATATCACGATCAATTTCGATATTCTTAATACATTATGTCTTCAACTGACAATTGTACCTTGTCAACATGTCCGCTCAGCATGGCATATATCGATTACCTGCCTAATCTTCCCGCAAATGTGTTTTTCGTGGCCTTTTTCGCCCTCATAACGGTCCTTCAGTTTGATTTGGGAGTATGGTATCGAACATGGACTTATATGATTGCCATGCTGCCGGGTCTTATTCTCGAGGTTCTGGGATACGTGGGGCGAATCATGCTACATGATAATCCTTTTGATTTTAACAATTTCCTTCTGTGAGTGGCTTCATATGTTTTATGCCTCAATCTTGAGCCTCAACTAATCAACATTTGAATCTGAAGGTACCTTATTTGTTTGACTCTTGGACCCGCATTCTTCAGTGCCGCCATCTACATCTGCCTGGGGAAAATAGTTGTCATCTACGGAGAGGGCATTTCTCGATTCCGACCCCGAACATACACAAGGCTTTTCGTCTCCTGTGACCTGCTATCCTTGATTCTCCAAGCAGTCGGTGGTGCCCTCGCTTCCTCCGCTGGTGACGGCGACACGAGCGAAAGTGATACTGGTGTCAACATCATGATTGCGGGATTGGCTTTCCAGGTCTTCTCCTTGCTCGTGTTCATGGTCCTTGCTAGCGAATTCGCTTTCCGGATCCGCAAAAGCCCCAAGTCAGAGAATGATGACTTTACTAGCCTTCGCAAGAGCCCGAAGTGGAAGATGTTTCTTTACTGTATGTTGACCTTTGTCTGATTCAATTATACGTATGCTAATTACATGTGCATCTACCAGGTCTCGCTCTTGCCACTATTACCATCTTTATTCGATCGGTCTTCCGTGTTGCGGAGTTGCAGGGTGGATTTTCCAGTGCCCTGGCCAATGATGAAACCGACTTGATGGTGTTGGAAAGTACCATGATCTCGATTGCGTGCATTTGTTTAACGGTGGCTCATCCGGCTATTATTGTCGGTCGCACTTGGAATTCTCTTTGAGGGATCTTGATTATTTTAACACATTGAGCTTTAGATCTAGACTCCTTCTAAGACGTGGAATGAAAGACCATAAACTTACGAACTTAAATAATGCTGCCTTTGGAGAAACTACAGAGGATAAGCCCAACTATTGTGGGCTTTGAAAAGAGAAGCCTTCACACTCTTATTCCCATGCACACTGCTAATATATCTGTGATATTTTTCTCATTTCACACAATAGAATATAGCATCAGTCTCGAAAAACCCCGCAGCAAACTGATATCAGTATCAGCAACTACTCAATTGGTAGCATCTAAGTTAATAACTACGTCCCAATCATCTTTAGATATGAACCAAGCTTACTATCAGCTGGCTGTCAATCAATTGGACTGAAGCCTGAATTCACGTATCACGTGCCCAGTATGAATGTGGGGTTTATTCTTCCTCCGCAACTCCGCAACTCCGCAACTCCGCTCCTTCTACTCCGGACAACCGTTGAGAACCATCCCTCGTGTCTGAGTATGCTCGAGGCACCATGGAGAGTCGACCTGCAATGAAGCGTGCCTCGGACTTAGAGGCAGATCCACCACGTACGCGTCCTTGTCCTGCCTGCAACAAGACCTTTTCAAAAGCCGAACATCTCACCCGGCATCTCCGCAGCCACACTAAAGAGAGGCCGTATGTGTGTACTACCTGCGGGAAGGTGTACTCCAGAAGGTATGAACACTGAACCTAAGCTACTGCCATGTGCACTGACAATTGCTAGCGATGTGCTGCGGAGACATCTCAAAAGCCACGAGAAGCACTCTCAAAATGCTTCACC